CACTTGATTAAGTAAAAGACTTTAAGGCTGATCATGGTGGTACATGTCTTAATCCTAGCACTCAGGAGAGGGAGGCAGCTGTGAGTTTGAGGCCAGCCTGGTCTACATAGTGAGTTCTAGACGAGCCAGGGATACATAGTGAGACTGTCTATAAAAACAAACGACCTCCCCAAACCAAGATAGACTTTAAAAGCAAAGCTGGTTTTCCAGAGGAAAAAGAAATTTTGCTTCAAAGTACAGTGACTTTGACTAGGTGTGGTGGTACACATCTCTGGCAACAGCCCTTAGGAGGCTGAGGCAGGAGGATTCTAAGTTGGGGGCCAGCTGGGGCTTTGTGGTGAGACACTGTCAAACAAACACCTGTAGCATCAGTTCCCACCTGAGAATGCTCAGGCTTCCAAGGCTTTCACTGTCTGTTTTGAACTTTTTTTTTTTTTTTTTTGGTCTTTTTGAGACAGGGTCTCCTCATAGCCCCAGCTGTCCTGGAGTCAGTATGTGGACCAGGCTGGTCTTGAACTCACAGAGATCCGCCTGCCTCTGCCTCCCAAGTGCTGGGATTAAAGGCATGTGCCATCACGCCCGGCAGGCAGACTCCACAATCATGTCAGCCAATTCTTCGGACGAATCTCCACATGATTTTTACTGTTGACTTGACTGGACTGAGATGCCGAGGCTTAGAAAAGCACCCTTCTGGGTGTGCTGTGAGGGTGTTTCCAGGGAGGACTAACCGAGGAGGGAAGACTTACTCTGAATGTGGGTAGCTCTGTCTCATGGGTTGGAGGAATGGAAGGGAAGAAGAAAGCCAAGCGAGCTCAGTACTCCCCATTCTCTTCTTCCTGTTGGCTGTATGGTGAACAGGCTCCTCTGCCCCTCGTTCTTGCCACCGTGATGCTCTGCCCAAGGGCCCGGGGTTAAGGAGCCACTGGCGGAATCCCTTCAAACCGTGAGCCAAAGCAGCTCCTTCTTCCCTTCAGTTATTTCTGTCAGGCATTTTGCTCAGAATGATGAAAAGCTGACATACATACAGTCTCCCTCGGAGAACCCTGACAGACAGAATAATGTAGAGCAGTTTGATAGTTTGATAATGGTTGATATTGGCTTGGGTTTGGGCAGCAGGCACTCATGCCTATTGTGAGTGGGCGTTGGCAACCTTTTAGAGAGTTGTTGACACTATCAGAGTTAGCTATGCAAATTCTTCTGGCTTTCTTGGTAAAAGAACAAGATACAGCTGATGCTTAGAACTTACCCAGAGTATCTCAGGGCTAGAAGCAGAAGGATGATGTAGCAAAAACATTCATTCTTCCATCTCATTATGTCTGTTTATTGAGCACCAACTATGCGCTGGATACAGCTCTAGCCACTGGCAACGCTGCTCTTAGTACTTCTGTTCTAGAATGGGAGAGACCTGACCTAACCAGGCCTTTCACCACAGGAGCACCTTACCTGTGAAGAAGTGGGTTCTGGAAAGCTCATCTCTAGTTTGCAAATCCATGGGACCAAGATGAGTTTAAGGTTGCTATCCCCTATGCCTGGATGAATTTCCACCAAACAGCAGAGTGCACAGACCCTCAAGGCACTACAGCCAGACATCAGCATAATAGAGTGTGTGATGGAAATTTGTTGAGGTTTTTTTTTTGTTGTTGTTGTTGTTGTTTTTGAGACAGGGTTGCCCTGTAGCCCCAGCTGGCCTGAAACTCATTATGTAGACCAGGCTGGCCTTGAACTCACAGAGATCTGCCTGCCTCTGCCTCCTAAGTGCTGGGATTAAAGGCATGCACCATCACATCTTGCTATTTATGTTTATTTTTTTATGCATGTGCATTTGTGTGTATACATGAGTATAAGTACTTGTGGAGGCCAGAAGAGGGTTGATTCCCTGGAACTGGAGTTACAGGTACTTGTGAGCCACTTGGTATGGGTGCTGGGAAGGAGCTTACCCTCTGGAAGAACAGTAGACACTCTTAACTGCTGAGCCACCTTTCCAGCCCCTCTATCTGGTTTAGACTTTGATTTTTAGAATTTGTAGTATAGTTTTTTGTAAAAAGGTTATGGGACTGGAGCGATGGCTCAGCAGGTAAGAGCATTGGCTGCTCCTATAGAGGACCCAGATTTGGTTCCCAGCACCCACATGACAGCTAACAACTGTCTTTAACTCCTTGTCTGAAACAAACAGTTTTCACATCCAAAGGAGTCAAGAGAGCAAATGTCTGTCCTTAGAAGTAGAAGAACCGTATGGAGACATTAGTACACAAACACACATGCACATGGCACATGCACATACACACAGGCACCACAGCACTCAAACATACACAAAGACATACAACACAATACATATTGCATATAGACAATATATACTGGTGTATACACAGCTCCCCCCCCCCAATAAATACATACAATATGTACATGCACACTTGTATGCACGCAAGAACTTGCAAACATGGTTCTTTAGGGCAGGGAGAATCCAATTGTCTGCCCCTCCTCCACACCTATTTTTTTTTTTTTTTAGAGACAGGGTCTTGTGTAGTCAAGTGGGCTTGGAACCATGTAGTTGAAGCTGCCTCTACCTCTAAGTGCTAGGATTATAGGTGCATGCCACCAGGAATGGCTTCAACTCCCTGTCTCATTGATGGGGACGTGGAAGCCTGGGAGGTAACTGATCAAGCAGAAGTCAGTGACCAAGCCAGGGCTGGGCCTCCAATACAGCAGGGCCCCCAATAGTCTGACTCTCTGACTCCCCAGAGGCCCTTACTTAAGGGGCAGTCTTGCCTTCACTCGCAGACACTTGGATAAGTCCATGTCCTCTATTCAAAGGGTGGTCTTCCTTCTTGGCTGGGCCAGTCTGAGAGAATCGGGATCAGAGGGTCTGACCATAGGCTCTTGACAGACAACTCTGTTCATCCCTCGATATCTCTGCCCAAGAAAGGAAGGTTGTTTTTCAGAGACCCTCGGTGCACGTGTACTTGTTTTTTCAAGGACTTCCCTGCTTGATTCCCAGACACTCCCCTGAAAGCAACCCCCCTCTGTACAGAGGACCCCCATATCTCAATATACCTGTACCATGCTCTGGGCAGAGATCTGTTTGATGAGCAGTGGGGACCAGAGGGCTACCGAGCCCTGTCCCCAGCTCATTAGCTTTACTTTATGGTCTGGAGACATGTAAAGTGAGTGGTCATCTCTGGCCACATCCTGGAAAAGCCAGAGCTTTTCAACTGCTGTGGTTTTCAGTGTAAATAACCCTCCCTCACACCTCCTAGCTCCTGATTAGCCTGGTTAGGGCTTGAGGGCACTGTGAAATCAAGGTGTCATAGGATGTGAGTGACACTTACCCAAAGTGGCTCCACCCCAAGGTTTGCTGGGATCCTGGTGTGGGAGGGGACATGGGAGAGCCGCAGTGTCCGAATGAAGAGAGCAAAGACAGACAAGGCCCAGCTTCCTCTCTCTCCCTTGGACGAATGGTTACAGTGAGTAGGGTATGGGAGCAAGGGAGTAGAATTTGCAAGCAGTGAGCTCATTTCTTTGGATTGGAGCCCTGGTATATTTGCTCTTTCTGGAGGATTTAGGCTAAGTCCATATGCAAAGGATCTTACCTGGTGGGGTAGGCCTTGGGACAAGAGCTTCTGGTATATTTTCAGAACAAAGCTGTCTTTGCCCCTGGGTCAGTAGATCACACGTCTGACTATTTAAGGCCCTTTGTGTGTGTGTGTGTGTGTGTGTGTGTGTTGCTGGAGATCAAACTGAAGGCCTTATATATGTTAGGAAGGAGCTCTTCCACTGAACTATATTCTCACTCCCCCTTATTTTTTGGTTTTTGAGACAGTCTCCCTGGGGTGTCAGTTGCCTGGAGCTTGCTATGTAGACCAGGCTGACCTCCATCTCACAGAGATCCGTCTGCTTCTGTCTCCTGAGTGCTGGGATTAAAGGTGTGCGTCACCACACCTGGTGCCCATGCTTTCTTATAGAAGTTTTTTTTTGTGTGTGTGGTTTATTTATTTATATATGTAAGTGCACCATGTCTGCAGTGTCCATAGAGGCCAGAAGAGGGTATAGGGTCCTCTGGAACTGGAGTTAGGGACCATTGCTCACTGTCATAGAAGTGCTGGGAACTAAGACTGAACTTTGGTTGTCTTCAAGAGCATTCACCACTCTTAACCACTGAGCCATCTCTCTAGCCCCAAAGATTTATTCCTATTTATGTGTGTGTGTGTGTGTGTGTGTGTGTCTCGGTGAGTGTATGCCATGTGTGTGCAAGTGCCTGCACAGACCAGAAAAGAGCACCAGATTCCCTGGAGTTGGAGTTACAGATGGTTGTGAACTGCCTTATGTGGGTGCTGGGAACTGAACTTGAGTCCTCTGGAAGAGCAGCAAATGTCCTTGATAGCTGAGCCATCTCTCCAGCCCTCTTCCTTTTTTTTTTTTTTAAATTGAGACAGGTCCATTCTAGCATTGAAATTACTATGTATCCCAGGCCACCCTTGAATTTATAATCCTTGTGCTTCTGCCTCCTGAGCTGTGTATTACAGTTATACACTGACATCCCTAACTGTAGCCTGGGGGTTTTGACACCTCAACTTCCTCCTGCCTCTCCATTCCAGTTTCTGTTCTAGAATCTCTCTCTGACTTCCCTCAATCTTGTTGAACCTCTGGCCTTCTAGGCTTTTGAGAATGGTTACATTTGAAGTCTGGGTTAGGGCCTCTGTCCATCAGCCTCAGATCCCCTCTGATGGAGTCTGGTCCCCAGGCTTCAGCCCACCAACCAGAGGAAGGTTGGATAAAGGTTGGCCAGACTCAGCGGCTCTGGATCTGAAAATGTCCACAAGACAGAGATGAGGTCCCCGGGTTCTCTTTTTAGAGAAGCTGAGGTGGCTCTGCACATAGTGGTGTTTCTCAAAACCTTTCTTGTACCCATGCTGACATGTTGCATTACACTTCACCCATGCCACCTCCTTCCTCTTTTGCTCTTATTAACCAGTGGGAAGTAGCAGAAGGAGGAAGTGCCAGAATGAGAGTGAGTGCAAGCAGATGCGGGAGTGGAGCACACATCCAGTTCTTGCTACTAGGCTCCGCCAATGTGGACCCGTGTGAGAAGATGTACCTACTGCTGTTGGTCTCCTTCCTCTGGATGTCAGGTGAGTGGCCTGGTTTCTACATGGGGCTAAAGCTTAGACAGGCAGAGGGAGTGGTCAGCTAGGGAACCAGGGAACCCAATAAGAATTTGTCCCTGATGGTCTGAATCATGTGTGTTTCATCCATTCATTAACCCCCTGTTTTGGTGCCTTTAAGGTGGAAATACTGAGCCCTTCATCATGAACACAGCCCCAAGGATAATTCAGACCACTCGGGGGCTGATCATATTTAAAACAGACACACTGATGGGGTTCTACTGGTCTGAGAAAGATAGAGGAGCCCTGGTTGCTCAGGCAAATCATATGATCAGGGCCTAGCTGTCACCTTATGAATGTGTTATGACCAAGGAAAAGCTTTGGGGAAGGACAAGCAAGTGTGGCAGCGGCACTGAAGGAAGGGGAGGGGTCTGCCAGGCAGGACAAGAGGTGGGTTTCAGGCAATTGGGGCAAAAGAAAATAATAGAAGTTGCTGAGAGACTGAGGAGGCAGGATGGCAAGAAGAGGAGGTGTTGAGACACGAGCACAAGCAGAGGGCTGATGTAACTTTCTTGGTTTTTGTTTGTTTTAAACATTTTGACATTTATTTATTTATTGGTAGTGGAGAGCGTCTGTGCCAAGGTACAGGTGTAGGGACCAGAGGACAACCTGTAGGATTCAGTTCTCTCTTTCTACCATGAGGGTCCTGGGGATTGCACTCAGATTGTCAGACATGGCAGCAAGCACCTTTACCCACTGAGCCATCCTAGCTCTCTGTTCTTTTAGATAGAATCTCTCTGCGTAGCTCTCTAACTTGTGATCCTCCTGAGTGCTGGGATTACAGATGTGTGCTTCTACCCCTGGCTTGGCTTGGTGTAGTTTTAAGTGGATGGATACAATTGCTTTCAAAGGAAGGGAACTGACTATTTTAAAGTGTGAAAATAGGTTTTGTGATGTTTTCATGCACGTGCATCGAGCACTTTGATCACATTCATCCCCACTGCCTGCTCTGTCCCCTCGCACTGCTCCTCCTGGTTCCCTTCCTCTTTCCAAATAGACCTCCTTCACTTTCATGTCTTTTATTTTTCTAAAATCTAGATTCATGTATGACAGAAAACATATGATACTTGTATTTCTGAGTCTGTCTTATTTCCCTTAACATGTGCTTTCTAGTTAAATCCATCTTCTTGCCAAGGCATGATTTCTTTATGGCTGATATATATATATTTCTTTATCCATTCATCTGTCAATGGAAGTTTATCCATGGCTTTGCTATTGTGAATAGTGCTGCAGTATTAATGGGTCTACAGGTATCTCTAGTGCATGCTGAGTTAGACCGCAGAAGGGAATTTTTCTTGACATGTATTACACATGTTGTGGTTTCCACTTTACCCCTGGGCTTCTCTCTCTGAGCCTGTGTTGATCTCACTTCTGCCCTCAGCTTGAAATACTCGTTGGAAGATGGATTCCAATTTTATGCCCCTAGTGTAGACCTCTCCCAGAACTCCAGAATCTTTTGGATAACTGTGTACTTAGTGTTTCCACTTAGATGTTGACATTTCAAAAGAGACCCGACCAATAAGCAAGCAAACAAGCAAACAAACAAAAAGGTGTGGAAGTAGGAAGGAATTGTTGGGAAAAAGAAGGGGTTCAGTGGGAGTTGGAGGATGCGGCAAGGGTAATGGGGGGGATAACCAAAGTACATTATAAACATGTATGAAAATGTCAAACAATAAAAAAATAGATTAATTAAAAAATGGGACTGGAGAGATGGCTCAGTGGCTAAGAGGCTGCTCTTGCAGAAAACCTAGGTTTGATTCCCAGCACCCACATGACAGCTAACAACCGTCCATAACTCCAGTTCCAGGGGATCCAGTGCCATCTTCTGACCTCTGTGAGCACAGCACGACATGGATGCATCTACCTACATGCAGGCAATACACTCATATACATAAAATAAATATTATATATAAGTAAAATATTGAAAAAATCTTTCAGCATCATCAACAACAGCAAAAGTGACCTGACCAAATCTTCCAAAATCCCTTTCTCCCCAAGGCTTTTCCATATTTGTGTTTGTCAACTCCATCTTTCTCCGTGCTCAGGACAAACCTGGGGATCCATGTCAAATGACATCCTGTGTGACTCTGAGTGAAAATCCAAAGTTCTTACAGCAGCCTTACCAGCTGCTCACCTTCTAGTCCCCTGCTGTAGCACACCCTGGTCCCTTCTTCTCCTACCCCGGCTCAACCTGCTCCCCCACAATGGTCTTGAAGATGGTATGTTTAGGATTTTTCACATTCTGTTCTCTCTGCCCTGAATGTTCTTCCCCACACAGTCCCAGGCTTCTCACATCTTCCAGGTCTGTACTTCTCACTCTGGCCTTCCTTGATGACCTTAATTACAGCTGTCATTCCTGCTAGATATGCTGTGCTCCACTCTGGAGACAGAGGCAGGAGGACCAGGAGTTCAAGGTTATCCTCAGCTGCATAGTAGGTTTGAGGTCAGACCCTGAATCAGAAACTAAACAGAAAAACAAGACTGTGTTATCTGTGCCCTGTTCCCTATCCTTAATAGAATACAAACTTTCAGAGGGCAGAGACTTTTGTCCCTATGAGCATAATTAGTACTAATTACACAAAGCAAATATTAGTTTCCTGAATGACTGTATCCATTAGAAGGAGTATAGTTATTTCAATGTTGCTGTTCCCTTCTTTCTACTTTTCTAGAACTGAACAATCATTTTTGTTTTCTTTTGTTTTGTTTTTGAGACAGGGTCTCATTATGTAGCCCTGGCTGGCTTGGTGCAAGCTGGTGCAGGGGCTCCTCTGTCTGCTTCCTGGCTGTGGTGTTGTGAGCCTCTCTGCTCTGCTGTGTTCTTTCTGTGGTTATGGACTGCAACCCCTGTGCCACGACTTAGAAGAACTCTTTCTTCCTTTGGGTTGTCTCTGTCAGGCATTTTGTCATAGAGAAAAAGAAACTTACTAACACACCGACTACATCTCAAAACCTCTTTTGTTTGTTTGTTTTTGAGACAGAGTCTCCCTGTAGCCCAGCTGTCCTAGAACTCAATATGTAGACCAGTTTGGCCTCTGTCTCACAGAGATCTACTTGCCTCTGCCTCCCCAGCGCTGGGATTAAAGTCGTCTACCATCCTGCCCAGCTCAAAACTGCTTTAATGAAGAAGAAAAGGAAGAGGAGATAACATGGCCTGGTGTCACTTGACTTTTTTTGGGAAACAGGGTTTTGGATATTGGTTGTCACTCTGTAGCTCTGACCGGTCTTGAATTCATGAAAATCCTGCTTTAGCCTCTTAAGTGTTATGATTACAAGTGTGAGCAATCATAGCTGGCTGTCACTTGTCATGTTAAAAATCATTCTTAATTTTAAAAAAATATTATTTATCTTGTGGCTGGAGAGATGGCTCAGCGGTTAAGAACACTGGCTGTTCTTGCAGAAGACCCAGGTTCGAATCCCAGCACCCACATGGCAGCTAACAACTGTCCGTAACTCTAGTCCCTCTGCGACATTGCATGACATGGGTATACTTACATGCAGGCAATACATGCATACACATAAAATAAAAATAATAAATAAAATTTAAAAATCATTCTTAATTTAAAAAAATATTATTTATCTTTATTTTATGTGTATGGATGTTTTACCTGCATGCATGTAAGGGCATCATATGTGTGCAATGCCCATGGAGGTCAGAAGAAGGTGTTGGATCCTTTAGAACTGGGGTTGTAAACAGTTATTAGCAGCCATGTCAGTGCTAGGAACTGAACCTGAGTCATCTGCAAGAGTAGCCAGTGCTCTTAACTGCTGAGGCATCTCCCCAGCCCCTAAAAATCATTCTTGAAGTTGGTTTGGTGGGACAGCCCTTTCTTCCCAGTTACTTGGGATTCAGAGGCAGTAAGATCCCAAGTTCAAGGTCTGCCTGGATTACAGGGTATATTCAAGGCCAGCCTGGGTAACTGAGAGAGACCCTGCCTCAAGATAAAAAAGTGAGAAAAAGGGCTGGAAACATAACTCAGTGGTAAAGCACTTGTCCAGCATGCATGATACCCCACGTGCAATACCAACTACTAGGGAGGAAAAGTCATTGTTGTAAAGAACATTTTCATGTACTCTGAATCTTTCAAAGTGAGAAAATAAAAATAAACAGCATATATTTTCAGAAAAAAAACCCCAAACCATTCACTGTCTGGAATTCTTCTCAAATTGTAAGGCATTTGGAATTGGACATAGATCAAAGGAACAGAATGGAGACTCTGTACGTAACTCAGAAGATTGTCATTTGGCACAAGCATCAAAGCAGCTTATGGAGCAGAGGGTACCGGTGTGCTATAGGCATTGGAACCACCAGCCAGCATCAGCCTCTGCTGGGTCATTGGATGTAGGTGTTTTGCTGGACCTCTCGAGTGGTACTGAGTTGAGGCTACGTCATGCCCTCTGGACCTTGCCGTTCTCTACTTCCTTCCTTCCAGACCAGCGCAACACAAAGATGGTTGCAAAAGGATCTTCATACAATATATGAACTTACTATGCATAAGGATGTGGGAGAGGGGATGAAGGACAGTAAGCTATTATTTATTATTTGGGTTTTTGAGTAAGGGTCTTGTCATATAGCCCAGGCTAGTTTCAAACTCCTGATCCTCCTGCCTCAGTCTCTTGACTGCTGGGATTAGAAATATGTGGTGTTATTTATGTGTGTGTTAGGGGAGAGCAGGTACTTGGGGTGGAACCCAGGGCCTTGCCAATGCTAGGCAAATGCTTTATCACTGAACTACATCCCCAGCACTGCCGAGAAGCCATGATCGCTCTGGGCTACCATTTTCATTTTTCTGGGAGTTGTAATTGGGCTCTTCAGAGATTTCCCTGGACCCTCTGGCTCAGTTGGGGGACAGCAAGCAGACCTGTCTTGAGGAAGAGGTGTTCCTCCCTTGACTATTTGTTCAATTCATGAAGCTCATGGATGTGGATGTGGAACTCTCCAGGCACAGGTCCCTGTGCTCTGCTCTTGGACTCAAGGTGAGCGGTGCATGGATTTGTATTTTCCAGGCTGCTCCACTGCTCAGGATGAAGTCACAGGTCCAAAGGAGGCGAGAGGCCAGGAGCAGGGCTCCTTGGCCGTGCAGTGTCATTACGCCTCATCGTGGAAGACCTACAAGAAGTATTGGTGCCAAGGAGCCAATTGGAGCAGCTGCAGGATTCTTGTTAAAACTGACGAAACAGAGACGTTGATGAAGACGGACCGTGTGTCCATCAGAGACAATAAGACAGACTTCATATTCACAGTAACCATGGAGGATCTCAGGAGAAGTGATGCTGACATTTACTGGTGTGGGATTGAGAGAAGTGGCATTGACCACAGGTCTAAAGTTAACGTGATCATTGACCCAGGTAAGAGTGTGTGTACGTGTGTCTGTGTCTTCAGCGCCTGCTCTGTTCTGGTCCCTCAGGTCCCACCCAAATGAATTAACTGTCACTCAAGTGACCTTATCAAAAGATGGTCAAGTTTGAGGACACATAGACCTCAAACTGATTGACTGCTTGGGATTGGGAGGGCCAGGGCTCTCCTTAAATGCCTCCTGACTTCCAGAGCCTCCTCTGGCATGGGATGATGGGATGGTATCTTTCTACACATTCCCTGGCACTTTTCTTTGCACATCACCATCCTGAGTCTATTGTCAATAGAAGATACGGTGATGGCCCCCCAGTTCCAACTCATGGACCACCTTTCCTGGTTCCTAGCGCCCCCAGTCCCTGCCAATGCTTTCTTGGGGTCTCATGAAAAGAGTGCCTTGCTCTTTGGCAAGCTCTGGGTGGGGCCTTTATGGCTGCTGTTCCCATCTCTACTATATATCCAACCCAAGGGAAAGAATACCGACATCATTGGGGTGCTGTGTTCTAATTCCCAAGGTCTAGAAAGACCTTTACAAATAGCTGCATTGCTGGTGCCTGAAATCTGCCCCCCATGAGCCATTCCTGCTTTTGGCTTAATGAAATTCTCTTTGTGAATTCTTCCAGAATGCAGAAACTCACGAAACAGTGAGCTCAAAGGTCTCAGTGCTATGGTTTGAAGTAGTTTCTCCACTGGGTTCTGTTACTGCCATCCTGAGACAGGCATTAGTACTAGGTCACAGTGCATTTACACATGAGGGCAGAGACCACTGTCACCAGGACCCATACCTACCCTGGAACCCCTGAGGTGTGGTATGGTGTGGGGCATGAAGTTGTTCCCATTACTGAAATGTCTTAACGTACCCCAAGAAGTGTCATCCTAAATATTAGGGTTTTCTTCAGGGTAGTCATGACCTTAGAAGTCTCTGGTCTAGGTTATGTTAGCCCCTTTGCAAGTTCCCCTTTAGCCCCTGTCCTTGTTGGGAAAAGAAGGTTTGTAGGGAGGCACTGGCTAAGGCACTTTTAAAGCAGGGCATTCAGCTGAACTCTAGCTGCTCTTTTCCTGAAGTTCCTTCTGGGCCCCTTCAGAGCTAGATCACTTGTGCCCAGTCCCACCTGCCTCAGAAGCTCTGGACTCTAGTGGCCAAGGGGATGCAAGTGGTCCAGGTTATAGTCCCTCACTCACCTCAACACTGCTTCAGGGACCTCTGGTTGGGGTGGCCCGCGTTCCCCCCAGGCTGAGAACCATTGCATGCTGTGTGGGTGGCTGTTAGGAAGAATAGTGTAATCTGTCTTATGCCAAGCACTCACTACAGTGTCGACCACGTTCCCTACCACCTCCACCACCATGTTTACAGCGCCAATCACTGAAAAAGAGACCAATGTACTCCCGACGATGACCAGCTACCACTCCGATGGCAGGTAAGCCAGTTCAGATGCTGCTGTCCTCCATGGTCCAGTTGGTCCAAACTCCTCCGATGGGGAAAAATTTCTGAAGTTTCAGGTTCCATTGTGAAGTTCAGGATATTGAAGTCCCTCACTCGCTCTCAATCCCCAGAAATCCCTCATCCTGGAGAAGAGAGTAGCCTGGGGGGTTGTTGGCTCAATTTTTCATTCATCCATCCCACTTTACCTGAGCTAATTTCTTCATGGCAGGCACGTGTTGAGGTCTAGGGACACAGATGTGGTGCTAGGTGGGGAAGGGTGATGCCCAGGCAGTCAGCGAGGACAGCGTGGCTGGTGCGTGTGTGACAGGGCCAAGGGCTGGCTTTTGGTCTAACTTGTAGGGGGCCAAGGAGGGTTTAGGGGAAGACTTGAACCTTTGAACCTCCTTTCAAATCTTTTCAAATTACCGTTACGGTAAGAACAGTGATATTGGTAGGTCCTCAGTGTCTCTAATGCTGGTGGCAATGCACAAAAGGATTCTGTTTTCTTCATTCCCCCACCTCCTCCTCTTCTACTTTTCTCTCAACACAGAGTCTCTTGTATCCCAAAATGACCTTGAACACACTGTCTACCTGACAATGACATATGTGCACACATGTACACATACACACAAAGGAAAAATAGGACACAGACATGCATAAAGGAAAGATCTTGAAGATCCCAGGAGAAAGTCAGTCCTTCACACGTCTAGGAGGGGGACCTTGGAGAAACCAGCCCTGCTGACATCTTGACCTTGGACTTTTGATCCTCTTATCTCTGCTTCCTGAATGCTAAGATTTCAGGTGTTTGCCGCCACATGCAGTTTATGCAGTGCTGAGGACTGAACCCAGGGTTCATGGATGCCAAGCAAGCTCTCTATCAATTGGGTAAACCCCAGCCCATGTCTAGTATTTTCTCTGATCCTGCATAGGACCACCCCATGAAGAGGAATGGGTAGATATAAATGTTGCCATTTTATGAAAGTGGAAAGTGAATCTGGGTTGCTTCCCCCGTGAAGGGTGGCCCTGGAGCATGGATGGACTCCAAACTCAGAGCTTTGTTCATTCTTCTTAGTACCCTGTCCAGTCCCGTGCAATAGAATGGGTTTCTAGAATCCGAGCGGCCCTCTCTCATTCCCAATCTTTGCTTCCTTTCCTCCCTTGCCGTTATTTTAGGTCTTCCGGAGACTCCTATTGCTGGGCCCTCGCTACAAAATCTCTCACCTCCCCTCTTCCTTTTGCCCCTTGTTTAGGGACTTTTGTTGTTATTTTGTAGTGCTGGGGACAGAACTCAGGGCCTCAGCACATGCTAGGCAAGCACTTTACCACAGAGCTACATCTCCAGCCCTCCAAAGTGCTTTGATAAATAATAACCAAGGTTCTTCATCTTATTAATCAAAGCTTCATGTAAGTCTAACTAGTTATAGTCTTTGATTAGATGGCTAATTCATTTGTTCAACAATTAGTCACTGAGCACCCATTCACATCCAGTGCTGTTTTAAGGATCACAGGGTGAACAAGGATGAATGAGATAATCAAGGCACGGCAGGTGACCTGCCTCAGTGGGTAGGTTTGTCACCAAGCCTGATGACCTGTGTTTCATGCCTAGAATACACATGGTAGAAGGTGAGACCCAACTCCTGCCAGTTATTCTCTGATGTCCTCTCTCTCTCTCTCTCTCTCTCTCTCTCTCTCTCTCTCTCAGACACACACAGTATGTAAATGTAAAAATTTAAGGCATCTCTCCTGCAGGTATGTACAAGATAATTAATATGACCAATTAGAGTTGATATACTGAACCAACTGACCGACACCTTTATTCTTCATATTTCTGTGACTCCAGGGACGAATGAGAGAGATCTGATATTAGTTTGTTAGGGCTTCCAGCAGAGTGGCACAGACTGGGTGGCTGAAACAACAGAAATGTACTTTCTTAGCATTCTGGAGCCAGGAGTTTGAGGTCAAGATGTCAGCAGGGCTGGTTTCTCCAAGGTCTCCCTCCTACACTTGTGGAGGACTGACTTTCCCCTGGGGTCTTTAAGATCTCTCCTTAATGCATGTCTGTGTCCTATTTTTTTCTTTGTGTGTATATGTGCATGTGTGTGCCAATGCACATGTGTTTGCTGATCCACATGTGTGCATATGGAAGCCTGAGGACAGCCTGTGGTGTTCCTCTGGTGCTATATTCCTTTGTTTTTTGAGGCAGAGTCTCTCACTGACTTGGAGCTCATAAGTAGGCTAGGCTGGCTGGCCAACAAGCCCCAGGGCTTCTTCTGTCTCTGCCTCTCCAGTGCCAGGATAAGTGTCCATCACCAGGCCTGGCTTCTTTACATGGGTTCTGGAGTTGAACTCCAGTCCTCATGTTTATACAGTAAGCACTTTACCAACTGAGCTATCTCCCCAGCCTCCAATTTCCAGTTTCACTGGATTAGGCCCCAGCTCAATGACCTAATTTAATGATCCTGTATCCAAAGGCAGTCATGTCCAGATACCAAAGAATATGTCCCAGGTCTTTCTTCTAGCTTCTGTGGTTGGCAATAATATTGGAATTGACTGGGGTAATACTATTCCAGTCTCTGTCCATGTTATCACATGACTTGTGTATGCATTGTGTGTGTGTGTGTGTGTGTGTGTGTGTGTGTCCAGTTATGGTGGCTTATCCCTGCAATCCCAGCACTTGGGAGGCAGAGGCAGAAGGATCAGGAGTTCAGAGTCATCCTCTGCTTCACAGTGAATTTGAGGTCAGCTTGGGTTACCTGAGACTGTCTCAAAACCCCAAATCGAAACCAGCCAAGCATCCAACTAACAAAAAAAAAAAAACCAAGAAAACTCCAAAGAAAAGCACCCCTGCCCCCAATCAAATTTCTCTCTTACAACAATAATAATCATTGGGGTGGGGCCTGCCCTACTCCAGCTGACTTTGCATTAACTTGGTTACATCTGGAAAGACACACCTTCCAAGCAGGTCACATACATAATCTCTGGGTAGACACAAATTCTAGGAATACTGTCTAGTTCAGCAGAGAGGGTGCATAGAAACATGAAGACCTGCTTGAAGCCTGTCAGTCTGTGGTTCCCATTGGGCTTCTAGACACATTGGAACTGCCTTGTGGAACCCTCCTCTCCTTTATAAAACTGTTTTTGAAGATGCCTAGAGCAAAGGTCCCCTGGGTGTAAACCAGAGCTCTGCAGGCCAGCAGGTGGCTAGGATGGGGTTCATAGGGTGAGAGGTGAGCCTGGACCCAAAGGTCCCCTGTTGTTCTAGGCAGGGCATCATGGAGCTTAGTGTCCTCCTCCCGGTCATCTCCGCGGTGCTGCTGCTTCTCCTGGTGGTGGCCTCACTGTTTGCTTGGAGGATGATGAGGCAACAGAAGAAGAAAGGTGAGAGGGCCTGGTTCTGTGGCTGGTCGAATGGGAGTGTGGGCTGATGGCCACCATTAATATCCAAGAGCTAGCTGGCCTGAGGGATTACTTACACAGTGCGGAAGGGATGCTGTCCCAAAGGCCACCAATAACTGGCAGTTCAAGAGGCTAGAGGTGGTCTGGATCTGGTGAACCCCATGAGGATTTGGAGTCAGCTGCTTGCCTTGTACAAATCTCTTCTCTCCTTCCTGGTTTCCTGGTTTGGCTTTTGGTGGCAGGGGTTACAAAGGCTTTAGGAGGGCAGCCCATGCTGGGGCCTATGTCAAGGAGGTGCTGAGTGCAAGTGAGGGAAAGAAGAAACACACACACACACACACACACACACACACATTCAAAAGATAAAACCAGAGCTGGGCGTGGTGGCACATGCCTTTAATTCCAGCACTCGGGAGGCAGAGGCAGAGGCGC